CATGGGAAACAAAAGCATATTCATATAACATTCCAGTTTTTGAGCCCATTCTTTACCTCGTGTTCATCACACCACCACTGAAATACTCAACAGAGCTCTATAAACAAGCAAGAATTCAGAGAAGTTAACCAACTTGCCCAATACAAACAACTAGGTAAGCAGAGATCTCAACCTGGCTTATAAACCTGGCTTCCGTTTGGGTTTTCTATAAGGAGACCTGGAACATGTGTCACTTGTGGGATGAGCAAGGGCAGCACTTACAGCTGAACAACCCATGGTCTCCTCTCCTCCCTCCCTCCTTTCCTTGTTTTCCTCCTCCCTTTGTCTCCCTCACTCCTCTCAGTCCCCTTCTTCCCTTTCTCCTCCCATTTTGAAATTCAATAGGCCACCTGTTTTTGTCCAAGGAAGCTCTCTATTTGACTGAACACACAGGTAGATAAACAAAAAACAAAGCAGGGAGGGGCTTGACTCGGAACAAGCATACTCACCAGAAGCCCAGTGCCTAGTCAATGGACTTCAGCTTAACCACGCAAAGCAGGCAATAAAATTCAAAGGAACTCCCTAGAGGACCAAGGGGTAAATCTCAGAAAACCAGAGGGACAAAACACAGCAGAGGCTATTCAGAGCCCCAGACCTGAAAGGAAGAGACCAACAGCTCACATTTATAATGTGTGACATTAGCATTCAGGTCTCTTGAATTCAATGTTAACCAAACTCCAGCTGCAGACCAGGCTCTACAGGAGGTGGGCACCTGAGACCCAAGACCCACAAACTTCTACTGTCAGAAGAAACCAGAAAGGATAAAGCAGCAAGAAAGGAGGTTTTGCCTCAGTTCAATTTTTGTTTAAATTGTCAAGTGATGGGGCTGGAGAGATGGCTCAGCAGTTAAGATCACTGGCTGCTCTTCCAGAGGTCCTGATTTCAATTCCCAGCAATCACATGGTGGTTCACAAACATCTGTGGTGGGATCTGATGCCCTCTCCTGACATAAAGTCGATAGAACACTCAAATACATAAAGTAAATATTTTTTTTAAAAAAAAACAGCTGACATATAGTTGACATCCCATAGAATAATAGAATTTCAAAATGAATCTCTTTGTTAATAACATAAACTTTGATGTAAGAGAGGATATTCCTTTGAACCTCCAAAATGTTGTGACACAGCATATCTAGTCTTCTACCAAAAATGTCATTTTTCAGGAGAACATGAGACTTCCATGACTCTATACTGTTAGTAATGGGTCTTGTGAGCTAACACTGTTGTCAGTTTAAATATTCAGATTCATTTTGTATCAAAAACCAAGTGAAAAAACATAATCTTAGTTCTTATGCTATGTTTTTGCCTGCATGTGTGTGGTGCCAGGAGAGGTCAGAGAGGGGTCAGATTCCCTAGAACTGGAGTTAAAGGTGTTTTTGATTGCCATGTGGGTATTGTGAAGTTAACCCAGGTCCTCCGTAAAAGCCAACACGTGCTTTTAACTGCTGAGCCACAGAAGGGTTTTCATATAACCCAGCCTGGTCTGAAATCTTCCATGCAGCAGAAGATGACCTTTGTAAGGGGCCGTGGGCCCAAAACTATGCGGCTTAAAGCCCACCTTTGTAAGACTTTTAGTGACCTGTAAGTTTGTGGCTTAAAGCCAGTTCTGTGAGCCTCCTGTAACCTGTAATTAGATACGGTTTGGCCAAGTGGAACTGCTAACTGCTTCTGTTCCGAGAAAGAGTCTGGAGCTTTTCTGTTCGCTGTTCCAAAGAAGACCACTAGGTGTTCCGGCTGACAAGAAGAATGTTCCAGTCCCAGCAAATACCTGATGTTCCTTCTATTATTCCCCCCAATTCTATTGTTGCAGGGCTATTTAAGCCCACTCTAAGCCCCAGTAAATCGAGACCTTGACATTGCACAGACGGACTCTTGTCCTTTCTTGTGCCGCTTGGTCTCCTTTTCTCTCTCGCCCCCATTGACCCGCCCCCTAGGTGATACCTCCTCGAGACCCACAAATAACCTGGCCTGCTGGACGGGTCAGACCTTAAACTCCTAATTCTTCTGCCTATAACTCCTAAGTGCAATCACATCGTATACCACTACAGCTCATTAGTCCTATGTTCCTCATCTTCTTTTTGTTTTCTTTTGTGTTTTAAGACAGGGTTCCTCTGAATAGTCCTGGCTGAACTTGACCTCACAGAGATCAGCCTGCCTCTGCCTCCTGAGTGCTGGGATTAAAGGCATGCACCACCAACGCCCAGAGCATTGTAAATCAGACAATATTTTAGTTGGCTCTAGGACTCACAAACGGTCTCTATAGGCCCAAATGTGCACAGTTACTGTAATGACTTTAATCACACTGACTGAGGGGTACTTGGGTATCTCTCACAATACCAGAAATTACTTTTGTTGGTGACAGACTTCAAAATCATAATTTTAGAAAACATAATGATGCCAGCAATACATAGAAGTAATAAAACTCAAGGTAAGTAAACAGGTAGAATATATCTACATTTGAATGTTCCATTTGCAGAACTGGGCATGTTGGGTTTTTGTTTGGTGTTCTTGATTTTCCTCCATGGTTCTAGTAGGTCTTACTATAGGCTTTCTGTGTAATTACCTCCTAGGCAATCCATTTCATCACAAGAAAATCCAACAGTATGTGCTTCTATTAATAAACAACTCTGACAGTAGAAAAACAAAACACAGAGACCTGAATGCTAATGTCACACATTATAAATGTGAGATGTTGGTCTCTTCCTTTGAGGTCTGGGGCTCTGAATAGCCTCAGCCGAGCTTTTGTCCCTCTGATTTTCTTAGATTTACCATTAGTCCTCTAGGGAGTTCCTCTTTTTATTTTTACTGATCTATTTATTTTGAGACAGTCTCACTACATAGCCCTGGCTGTCCCGAAACTCACATAGATTCACCCGAAGGTGCCGGGCTGAAGGTATGAGCCACAATGCCTAGCAAGAGTTTTACCTTAATATGCAATCACTCACCTAACAAGTCAAAAAGACTTTTCTCCTTTTTTCTTGCCACTTCTCGCTGAACTTCACACAGCATACATTCAACATTCATTACTGCTTCAATGAGGTCAGCCTGGGCACCTCTAATCTCTAGCATTGCTTTCAGGGGACTGACAGTCTCTGAAATGGAGACACCTGAGGCTGTCTGGAGCTGAGACAGCTTGTCATGCTCATTCTTGCCAAGGTAGAGAATGTGTTTATTCTCGATGACGTGGTGTTCCTCAGAAGTCAGCAACCTTTCAATCCACTCTTTGGCCTCACACATCTCTTCTGCGTTTACACCCATCAGATTGATGGCAGGTGATCCGGCTTCAAGTCCACCTCTTTGCTCCCCTCTGGTCCACTGGGGGACTGAAAGAACTATCAAAAACAGATATAGAAGGCTGGTGGGTTTTTCAATAGTACAGAATATCACTGGCACCATTTGCCCCCAGGATATTACCATCACTGTCAGCAACAGCAGCTAAGACCTATCCATAAAAACTACACTGGGTATAAAGGGAATCTACAGGCACAGCTTATGGCCTCCTTATAAACATATCAGCTAGCTTACAAGATGATGGATCTATTATCTCCACCCTCTGCTCTGTGTGATTTGTGAATTCAAAAGTAAGTTTACCTATTCTCACCAGCTAAGGTACAAATCCTTAGCCTCTTGCACCTACCAGACTTAAAACCAAACACCAAAAGCTACAGAATTCAAGGAATACAATATGTTTTGTAAAAAACAGTGGGCCGGTGGTGGCACATGCTTTTAATCCCAGAACTAAGGAGATAGAAACAGGCAGATCTCTGTGAATTCAAGGCCAGCCTGGTCTACAGAGTGAATTCCAAGACAGCCTCCAGCTACACAGAGAAACCCCGTCTCGGAAAAACCAAAAAAGAAAAAAAATAAAAGGAAAGAAAAGAAGAGAAAAGAAAAGAAAAGAAAAAGGTAGCAAGGTGGTGGAAAGATGGCTCAGCAATTAAGAGCACTGGCTGCTCTTCCAGAGGCCCTGGATTCAATTCCCAGCACCCACATGACAGCTCACAAGTTATTGTCTGTACATCCAGTTCCCTCACACAGGCACACATGCAGGCAAAACACCAATGCACACACAAAAATAAAAAAAAAGAAAAAGAAAGGAAGGAAGGAAGAAAAGAAAAGAAAAGTAGCAAAACAGTAGTCAGTTAGGCAAACTGTTTCACTGGAAAGCAAACATTATGGCTTATATCAATCAGAGACATGCACCATCACCCACCAGTTGAGCAGGAACTTGGAAGTTTAACAATATCAAGTGTTGAGAAATCTATAGAAGAAATAGAACTCCTAAATATCTATTATATAAAAATGAAACAAGACAGTCACTGGTGGTGCATGCCTTTAATCCCAGCACTGGGGAGGCAGAGGCAGGCAGATCTCTGTGAGTTCCAGACCAGCATGGTCAACAAGAGCTAGTTCCAGGACAGCTTCTAAAGCCACAGAAAAACCCTGACCTGAAAAACCAAAAAATGAATAAATAAATATTGAACAGGCATTCTTATATGAATTAAAACCAAAAAAGTTTGCAAACCTCACATTCTATTAAAACATTTAGAGACAGACAGACAGACAGACATACAAACAAAAAACACACACACAGAAAGAGAGAGAGAGAGAGAGAGAGAGAGAGAGAGAGAGAGAGAGAGAGAGAGAGCACAGGAGGAAAAGAGGAGAGATTAGGAGCTGGGTGTCCAGGCTTGGTAGCAAGCACCTTTATCCACTGAGCCATCTTAGAAGTTCACATTGGAACTAATTGCCCAATGGAAGTAACCTAATGCCCTTCAAAAATGGAATGTTACTGTACTGATGAAGACATTACCTTTACATGACTGAGTCACAGAAACATACATACATACACACAGACACACACACAGATATGTATATCTGGGGGGGGGATTTCAAGGCAGGGCTTCTCTGTGTAGCCCTGGCAGTCCTGGAACTTGCTCAGTAGACCATGCTGGCCTCGAACTCACAGAGATCCACCTGCCTCTGCTTCCCAAGTGCTGGGATTAAAAGCACGAGACACCACCACACAGCACAGAAACATATTTTGAGGGGAGAAAGAGCAAGTTGAGAACTAATCAGGACCTTGTTCTAAGGGCTTTACATATAGTCCTTTATTTAAAGCCACACAATTCTATGAGACAGGAACTATTATTTCATCTTAGAAATGAAGTCACTTAAAATTTCCAGAGTCATTAAGTAACTTGTACATGGCTGTAGGACTAGTTAATCATATCCACCACGCTAGTGGATGGGGGCATCTCACCCTAATGGTTATACAACTCTCCTTCTAGGTAGTGATCCTCAGATCATAGGGAAGGGGCTGGAGATATGGCTCAGTGGTGAGGAGGATATATTGCTTTCCAGAGGACCGGAGTTCTATTCCTACCAGACACATCAGGGAGCTCACAACTACCTCTAACTCCAGAGGGATATCTGGCCTCTGAAGGCAAAACACTCTTACATGTATGTGCTCACCTCCTCCTAAAACTAAAAATTTTTTAAAAAGACACAAGGGTAGCCAGGCATTGGTGGTGCACGCCTTTAATCCCAGCACTCAGGAGGCAGAAGCTGGCAGACATCTGGGACTTCGAGGCCAGCCTGGACTACAGAGCGAGTGCCAGGATAGGCTCCAAAGCTACACAGAGCAACCCTGTCTCAAAAAAAAAAAAAAAAATCTTTGGGCCCCAGACTTATCACTGGGAAGCCAGCATGGAACTGATCCAGACCATATAAATGTGGGTGTCAGTGAGGAGGCCTCAGAAATCTATGGGGCCTCTTGTAGTAGATCAGTACTTATCCCTAGCGTAGGAATGGACTTTGGGATCCCATTTCACACAG